GAGATGAAATAAAGAAAAATAAATATATATATATATATATATATACAACATACACACTATTTTGGTCTTTTAACCCACTCTCCTCTACCCTACATCATCTTCTATCTCACAATTCTTCTATCTCACAAACAGTAAAATCAACTCAAATCTCTAATTTTAAATAGTAAATGTAGTATATTGCCTATTTTGTTTCAAAAATGTACTAAATGACAAACTTTCCCTTTATATTATTGTTTTAGGTTATTCGGTTTGGGTTGACAAAATCCTGGCTAGAGTTTAGATTTTGTAATAAACCAAACTTATATCTTGTTTTGGTTTGACAGAATAGTGGTTAGGGTTTAGATTTTCTAATTACAGAATCTATGGAATAAGAACAAAGTCATGTAGGAGCTAGACTGGAGGGATTCTAGAGATCAAATTACATTAAGACCCTCATATCTATACACCCTTATATGAAGAAGCAAGTGTGTATCATTGTTTTGTAAAGATTTGCAATCGATTTGGGAACCCATAAATAAAAATAAAAACTTTACGAAAGACTTACCGTAGAGGAGAAGAAACGTTGAGATTTGCCGGCGGACGTAACTCTAGAACCAACACTGGGAAGACTCTGTTTCTGCTTCTGCTATCATCTCTCCCTTCTTATTTGTCACGCTTGTATTAGAAAGAAAAGTGATGAATTTGAACTTGGGGAAGGTGGAGACGAATGAAGATAGACTTTGAAGTTTCTAACCGTTGTGCATGTTTAACGGCTCTATCACGCAAAGCCATTTTTGAAACGGGAAAAATGTCAAAATAATCCCGAACTTTCAAAGTCATTTTAAACACAAAGTTAATGTTTAATGATTTGTCAAATAGTCATAATTCAATTAAATGATTGCAGTAATCCACTTAATATTATTTTAATCATTAAAGTGTGAGAAAAAATATGAAGAGTTATAACTGCAATATTTATCTCCAATGGATTTTAATAGGATTACAAAAATTAGAATTTTTTTGTAATGTAAACTGGCTCAAATATAAATATATTGTGACCAGATCGTTACAATGTACTCGGATGAATCAAACTTTTACTCGTATAAAAATATTTAATACCATTCAAACAGTATTCAGAAATTGGAACAGATAAGCAAAACTATCAATATTGTTGTTATCTAGTGGCAAGCACTTAGAATTTATGAACAAAACAAGGGTATTTCAATCACTCAAATAACTTATTATGCAGCTTTAATAGTACTTAACGAATCACTCATTAAGAGCTAAAAAAATAAACTCGCGCCAAAGAACTTAACAACTTTGAGAAGAAGAATATAATTTATATTAACTTTTAATTCAATCAAGGGTGTGTTACAATGAGGAATAAGATGAGCTTTTATATACTCAATAAAAAACAGTCCCAAAGCCTAAAATATTAAAACAAATAGCAAAATATAAAGGATATGGCCGTTGGAGCTTTGATGACAAAATCGGCTAAAATAAGGAAAGTCTCTTCTCTTGTATCTTGAAAGCATGGGGAGGACTGGAGGAATGTGCGACTTAGTGGAACCTTCTGGGATGTCTAGAGAGTTTTCTAAACACAGCCTCTTTAGTAGCAAAATAGCCATTGAGGTTTCAACATTCTTAGTGTGAATGCATCTAGAAAAGGAAAGTTGGGGTACCAGAGGATTTGGCGAATCCTCTGGATTCTGGTGGATGGTGAGGTGTCTTGGAGAGTCTCTGAATTATATAGAAGTTCTACATGTCGCCAAACATAAGTCTCCATGGAACCTATTAAGGAAAGTTCCATTTTCGGTAACATATGGCCCTCGTATAAGGCCAAATGAGTAAGTGTTAATCAAACTCAAACCAGGGGTGGTTTGGCTTGATCTTTATGCTCCATATGCTTAATTTTCTGGTTAATTATGAAGCTGAGATGAAATGGACGAGTGGATTCTCTAAACTGCAGCTTAGTGTTAGATTTGAGGAACAAGAATGAGAGAGAGATTAGGGGAGAAGAGTAATAGTAACCAAGAATAGAAAAGAGGAAGAATTACTCTTCTTACTTAATTAGGGTTTACAGCCACACATATATGTAGGTGGGATAAGCTTACAAAGGAAGCTAATAATATAAATAATGCTAATATATTTCTCCCTTAACCTCACCCGTATGTATAGTATAGACCAATGTAGAGACGAGCCTAATAGTCTATACTATCCTAACTTAGTCTATATAGAATAGACCAATATAAAGTAGAACATAATAGTCTATTCTATCTTGACATACTCAATACTCCCCCTCAAGCAATAACCTAAAATGAATTTTAAAAAATTGGGGAGTAAAAAAGAAAAAACATTATGAATTTTTGAAAAAAAATTCTAAACGACTATATATTTAAGAGATCTCCATACAAAGAAATATATATGCTAAAACCCTGCAATCCTCAAAGTGTTATAAAACATGTTTTAAAACATGTGATTAATCTATTAAGGAAACATCCCCTTTGGTCATACGTCCCCCTTGGTCATACATTCCTCTTGGTCATACATTCCTCTTTGCCATACATTCCTCTTGGTCATACATCCCCCTTTCAATCTTGTAGCACTATAAATAGATGATCTTAACTACTCCTTATGTAAGCTTGAGTAAAAAGATAATAAGAAGAGATCTTTCTCTATTCCCTCTAGTTCTTGTTTTCCTCTTTGTTCTTCTCTAGTTCTTGATTGAAAGAGAGACATAGTTTACAACACGTTATCAGCACGATGTCTTTACCGCCGGAGCTTTTACGAGGTAAGTAAAATTTATATTGTTTTATTTTATGTTTTGTAGAACATAAATATTAGACATCGTAAGACTATGCCTTTTTCCGGATTGATCGTTATAAGTGGTAGGCTTTGCCTCCTTTACGATCAAATATATAACTACGTTATTTCCGAATTGATCGTTTGATACAATGGTAGGCTATGCCTCCTTCATGATCAAATTAAAGTTATATCATTTTCTGGAAAGATCGTTATACATAATAGGCTTTGCCTCCTATACGATTAAGAATAAAAAGAAGAAGGCTATGGTTTCTAATATAATTTTATGTATTTATATGTTTGTTTATTAGTAAATTTAATACATATATGTGTTAAATGAGATTTAAAGACAATGAAATACGTCTTTAAAACTTAAAATATAATTTTGCTATGAGAATATATGAAACATGTCTAGATATTGTTAGACAATTCTAAAGTAATTGGAAGGTTTAGATGAGCTAGTCTCTCGACTTCCAAAGCATCAGATTCATAATTATCGATGCCTAGGGTTCTCCAAAGTTTCAAAGAAATTTATGGAGTTTCAAAGATATTTTGTCTTAATAGTCTATTATATTGAGACTAAAAATATTTGTGGTATCAAATATTCAACCACAATTGGAGACATGCATGTATATGATTTTATCATGCAAAATAAAGATGGTAAGATAATAATAAACATGAAATGCGTTAAGCATAGCATAACCGGTCAAACCATCCCGGTCTAAAAATGATATAAAGTATCAGTATCATTAGTTTTCCTTTATAAAAAGGATAAAGAAGAGTATTTAAGCATAGGAAGCCTCTGGTCATATTTTCGAGGTAACATTTAAATTGCGTTTATTCAAATTCATTTAAATTTCTTTCGGTATTTATTTGTGGAGTGGAAGGTTGTATACCTCCTGCTTAATTATGTGGTAGGCTATGCCTCTAGAATCATATAGTGTTGGCCCAGTCACCATTATTTTGATTTATCAAGCTCATTGTATATAATTGATGGTCAATTTCTTTAGTCCCCAAAATTAAACCATGTACAACCGATTTAAAAATTCAGATTCGGTTTAAGGTGAATAGACTTGAAATGTCATCACCTAGAGAGGGGTAAGATGATAATACACATGACCAGAATTGGTATGTTGTTGGTGGGATTTAGTACGAGATGAATGGACTCCTAGAGTTATTATCTCGAGGGGGAGAGTTAAAGAGTCCCACATCGACAATAAGTCGATAAACTTTGGTAAATATTGACACTCATAACGAGATAATTTTGGTGAAGTCATGTCCCATATTGATCAATTATATATGTCAAAGTGATAAAGTGAAACATCTATGATGTTCACTCTCGAAATGAGCATTAATGAATTGTTCATAGAGCAAATCCAAGAGATTGCAAAACGATTCATGGGTGATTAAATCTCTATGTTTTGACATGGAACATGCAGTTCTGCGTGTAGTAATGATTATACATGAGGCCAACCATTTGTAAGAGATATTTCTCGCATGTTATGTATTCATGGTTGGAGATAAAGTATTTATCATTTGAAATTTTATGGGTGTGTGATATATATGTTGTAATTGCTCCTCCACACCACTTAAACGATATCATCCAAGAAGGATGAAATATATACATGAGAGAGATGAGTTTCTGCTCTAATAATATTGAACCATCTTATGAGATATGTGGATATTAAAAGATTTGCATATTATCATGTTGATAATAAAGTTCCCTACTATAATGGGAAAATCGTTGAATAGTTTGGAGTTTGGAATAAATGAATAAGAACTTACAAGTTCAAAAGATCACCATTCAGAATATAATGCAAATCAAATCCAAAAAGTTGAAGGATGAGATTTCATAATAAATTATCCTTAGATATGAACTTGAAGTTCAAAGAAATCTCATATCTTAACTGAAAATGCTCCAGTAAAAAAAAAATATATATATATATATCACTACAAGAAAAACGCTTATTTCCTACGGACGATTTCCTGAAAAATGGTAGGAAACAGCTTTTTCTTTCGTTGTTCCTACGCGAATAATGGTAGGAAATCACCAAAGGTATTTTTGACCGTTTTCTTACCAAACACGCGAAGGAAATGTTTTCCTTCTCATTTCCTACCAAACTATTTCCCTTTCATTTCCTACGAAACTTCATTTCATTCAAATTTCCTACGAATTATTTCCCTCTAATTTCTTACAAATATTCCTTCTCTTTTCCTTCAAAAATGACCTTCCAAAATTCCGTCAAATAGTTTTGGTAGGAAATACTAAATATTCTAATTAAATAATTTGTTACGAATTTATTCACTTTTATATCGATTAAAAATTTATAAATTGACAAAAAAAAAATTAAAATATTGCAAATAACATTACTTATATATATAAAATTCTCAAATGTTGATACAAACCAAATGTAAAAACAAACATAAAAATCATACAAATGTTCAAGTTGTTAAAAGTAGGAGAAATAAATTACTCTTGGGTTTCATCGTCGTCATCTTCTAGGAGTGTTGGAGTCAAACTCGGATCGGCCGAAGTCGTACGTGGTCTCGGATCCCTCGGATAAGTAGGTGGACGCAAATCTGGAAACCGTCCGAGGAGAAGCTTGTTGCACTCCATGAGATACTGGATTTGAGCGTCTTTCTCTACTTCTCGTGCCTTCAACGTTTGAATCTCTTCTCGAAGCTAAGGAATTTGACGTGGAGTACCTGAGGAAGACGATCATCCTTCATCCAAGGTGTTGCAGAAATTCTTGGCGCGCTTGAGGCTGGAAATCAATGTTACAAATCAGTTAAGGAAGGAGTTAAAGATAAACACATTGCAAACATATAATAAGTATGTCCGTTGGTTACTTTGTCATCTACAATCTTTAAAACCACTTGATTTATCAATCAATACTCGATCCACTAGTTTAAATAACATTGGAGGTGCTGATATAAAATATCTAAGGTTGTTATATTGATCAGAGTAAACAAGAACAAGAGTAAAATATCAACGGGAATTATTAAGTGTAAAACAAGAGTAAAATATCAAGTCCATATACTACTACTCATTTATTTATAGATTTGAACAGATGTAAGATAAGATGCACACACACACATGATTGAAACCATCTCACACGTATAATTGCTACTCTATAATTGTTAATTAAGGAGAATAATTAATTAAGGAGGATAATGGCTACTCTTTCATTATCGTCTACATAACTCACATGTAAGGACAAAAATTGATAGTTTATTTGACTTTTCCATATAAATAATGTAGGGATCGTGAAGAAATCGAGCACTAAGTACATTATTTAAGAAAGATGGACATGCTGAATACAGAATCGAACAGTAAGGTTCATGACCCCCAAAAATTCAGAAATCAACCAAAGTAAAATCCCTAACATTCTACCACAACTGAGAATAGAGATTAACTTACTGATAATTGCAGAGGTGGTACAGGAGGCCATGAGAACTCTTCTCTCATCCTTTGACTAGATTGGTTCCGATTTGCCATGTCTATAGATGATTGTGTGCAGTGATTTTGGACCAGATTTCAGGTAGATTGAAATAAGAAGGGGAGAAAGTTATAACTAGGTTTGAAAGCGACCCTAAATATAAAGAAGAAGAGGAGAGTAAGAGGGTGAGAAGAGGATGGAACCTTCGATTCGATCGGTCGTTGAAGTCGAGACCTTGAGAATTAGCAGATTGAACTGACTTGCAAGAGAATGTCTCGATGCAGAGAAGAGAATAGAATCGGAGTGAAAGTTGAAGCGGAGTGAAGGTTGAATGTCTAAAGCGATTTCAGACGGCGGAGTGAGGTCAAAGAGATAGTGTTAGGGATAGAGTGTTAGGTTGTTTTGATTTCTCTTGTTGGATCAGATAAAATTATTAAGGCCCATCATTTTTTGTTAAAATCTGAAGGCCCAATACAATTGTGTTAAATTCTTAAGGCCCAAATTATTTATTTATTTATTTATTATGTGCCAACTATTTTGCTAAGTAAAATAACAAATATCTTTGTCATTATAGATTTTTGTAGAATATATAAAAAAATTAAAATATTTAAATTTCTGTTTCACAGTTTTAAATATGATAGATGAATGTGATAGAAAATAATTTTTAAAGTCTTATACAATTTACACAAATAAATGAATAAATACATTATAATTATATGCTCATTACAAAATAAGAAAGAAATTAGTACTTTCTTTACTAGTTGCACCGAATAAGTAACCTACGAAGTTCCTACAAAACAATTCCTTCAGATTTCCTACGAAAATATTTCCCTCCATATTTCTACCGTTTTCCTACCAATTTTCAACTTACACTGCATTATTCACAACTTCCACTGCATTATTCACAACTTGCACTGCACTGCATTATTCACAAATTGCACCGAATTAGTAACCTACGCAGTTCCTACAAAATAGTTCCTTCCGATTTCCTACAAATATATTTCCCTCCATATATTTACCGTTTTCCTACTAATATTCCTTCGACTTTGTTGTCGAAGGAATTTAGTAGGAAAATTTCCTACCAATTTCTCTCCGCACATTTTCCTTCTACTTTCCTCCTCGGTTCCTTCACCATTTCCTACAAAACTATTATTTAGAAGAATCTCATAGGAAATGTTCCTACCACTTTCTGACACATTTGCTCGTAGTTAAATTCCCTTCTGTTTTCCTACCACTTTCCGTTTTTGTCATAAATGAGAAGTTTTTTGGAAGGAAATATTTCCTACTAATATTTTTGTAGGAATTTTCGAAGGAAATAGCCTTGTTTTCTTGTAGTGTATATATATGTCTTTGAAGAATGACATACTAAGTCTATGACACGTAAGAAATGTGACAGACTTCTTTGGTTCCTAAGATAAATATAGTCCTCAAAAAGAAAAAGGAGCAAATTATTGAGGAGAGGATTGAAATCTTAAGAGAGGAGCAAGTAAACTCTTAAAGAGGAGTAGAGAAATTAGATTCCTTAAAAGGAGCAATGGACTCTCAAAGAAAAGTAGAGAGACGAAATGATATGGATAATAAAGAATAAGGTATCTAAATAAATTCATTCAGAATAATAAAGAGATCTCGATAAACCATATCATTACGGGAAACATGGAACCAAAGACATTATAAATGTCGACAAGAAGAAAAACAATTAGCGCGCAATATGATTAATGAGGATCATGAATCTCCGCTTTGTGAGCGTATAGATATATATATATTGGCCAATATTTGATGATTTCCACTTTGATGAAAGTGAATTCCCCGCGTTAGGTGGAGGATTGAGAGAATCACACCAAAAGATAACACATGGTGTTCAAAAACTTTGGCGTATCTCAATTTTCCTACGAATCAACGGGAATTGAAGTACAAAAAGGAAAAATCGCACACTTTTAAAGTTTGGAAAACTAGTTATATGATGTATTCACATATATAATAAGTGTGACAAAATCCTATATCCCCGCTGCTAACGCTCCATCAAGGATAAATGTTCCTGAAGAACATGTTGATGTAAATAAGAGCAAATGAACCGGTTCAACTAAAGCACGGGAGGCCATTAGGATCGAAAGATAAAAATCCTCGAAAGAAAAAGGAATTGGGAGTAAAGGTTCAAGAAGAACCATATAATGAAAAATGTTTAGAAGACATATATGAAAAAGTTCTAGATGAGCCAGATTAAGAAATTTGTTCGGAAGACGAACATAATACAGAAAAATACGAGATTTCCATTAACTTTGTCCACGATGAGAAAGTATGGGCTAGAAACAAAATAGATGATATAGATAGAATATTCTCTTTTTCTGTATCTAAAGAGATCGATCATGAAAATAACGATCCAGACCCAAGGTCCGTGTCAGAGTGCCAGAAAAGGCCTGATTGGGAGAAATGGCAAACAGCCATGAGAAATGAAATTGTCTCCCTTAATAAAAGAAATGTTTTCGGACCAATAATCATTACACCTAAAGATGTAATACCAGTAGGATGCAAATGGGTCTTTGTAAGAAAGAGAAATGAGAAAACGAGGTCACAAGGTATAAAGCTAGACTCGTGGCACAAGGTTTTTCTCAAAGACCAGGGATTGACAACGAAGAAACATATTCTCCAGTCATGGATGCAATCACGTTCAGGTACTTAATGAGTCTAGCGGCGTCTATAAATTTAGAAATGTACCTGATGGACGTTGTGACTGCATACCTATATGGATCACTTGATAGTGACATATACATGAAAATACCGGAAGGATTAAAGATCCCAGAAAGATCAAAGATGTCGTAAGCATCTAAGAAAATTTATTCGGTCAAACTACAGCGATCACTTTATGGACTAAAGCAGTCTGGACGCATGTGGTATAATCGCTTGAGTGAATACTTGTTGAGTAAAGGATACATCAACAATGCGATATGTCCGTGTGTATTTATAAAGAAATCTTTGATAGGATCTGTGAACATTGCTGTATATGTTGATGACCTAAATATAATTAGAACTCAAAAGGAGATTGATGAGGCAAGAGCTCACATGAAAGAAGAATTTGAAATGAAAGATCTTGGAAAGACCAAATTTTGTCTAGGACTCCAGATCGAGCATTTCCAAGACGGAATATTTGTGCATCAATCAAATTACACTAAAAGGGTGTTAAAACGTTTTAATATGGACAAAGCAAATCCTTTGAGTACTCCAATGGTCAATAGATCACTTGATGTTACCAAGGATCCTTTCGGCCTTGTCAGAATGGCGAAAAAATATTAGGTCCTGAAGTACCATATATGAGCGCCATTGGCGGACTAATGTATCTTGCAAATTGTACTTGACCAGATATAGCTTTTGTTACTAATCTACTTGCAAGATACAGCTCAGCCCCAACGCGCAGACATTGGAATGGGATAAAACATCTCTTACGCTATCTCCAAGGTACGATAGACTTAGGATTATTTTATCCGAGAAATTCTACGCTTGGGCTAGTTGGTTATGTAGACGCATGATACTTATCAGACCCGCATAAATCTCGATCGCAAACCGGATATGTTTTCATATTTGGTGGAACAGCAATTTCGTGGCGTTCTCAGAAGCAGACGTTAGTCGGCACTTCTTCAAATTATGCTGAAATTATTGGACTTCACGAAGCAAGTAGAGAATGTGTGTGGCTTAGATCGATGACTCATTACATACAAGAAGCATGCAGAATAATAACCAAAGCGGAGCCAACAAAAATATTTGAAGATAATGCTGCTTGTGTCGCTCAAATCAAAGAAGGATATATCAAGAGTGATAGGACAAATCATATTACTGCACTCTTTTTCCCTTAACGTGGTTTTTATCCCTAACGGGTTTTTCCATGATAAGGTTTTTAACGAGGCAGTATACTGCATATATACAGTAATGATTAATCAAGTGGGAGCGTTACTGCACTCTTTTTCCCTTAACGTGGTTTTTATCCCTAACGGGTTTTTCCATGATAAGGTTTTTAACGAGGCAGTATATTGCATATATACAGTAATGATTAATCAAGGGGGAGTGTTATAAAACATGTTTTAAAATATGTGATTAATCTATTAAGGAAACATCCCCTTTGGTCATACATCCCCCTTGGTCATACATTCCTCTTGGTCATACATTTCTCTTGGCCATACATTCCTCTTGGTCATACATCCCCCTTGCAATCTTGTAGCACTATAAATAGATGATTTTAACTACTCCTTATGTAAGCTTGAGTAAAAAGATAATAAGAAGAGATCTTTCTCTATTCCCTCTAGTTCTTGTTTTCCTCTTTGTTCTTCTCTTGGTTTGATCTTCTTACTTAGAGAGAGACATAGTTTACAACACAAAACTATTTTTTAGAATTGCTATTACTATAAGAGATGATAAAAAGATTTGACAAAATAGTTCTGATCTCAAACCAAATTGGTTAGTTGATTCGGGGAGAAAATAGATTATGCGGTCGAATACGCTATGTCACCACTATGACAGACGTATAAACAATACAAGTAAAGAAATGGTGGTTACTATAAAACATTATAATCGTGTTTTGATGCTATGTGTTCCCTCAATATATTTTTTGTTTAGTGTTTTGTTCTTCTTTTTATTTACTTTTGAATAATGCCCAAAAAAAATATTTGAGAGGGAAAAGTTGCACCAACTAACAAATATACCAAACTTGTACAATGATTAATTTATCAAGTAAAGTAAAATTTGTAACGGCTCATCAAATATACAAAAAGATTACAAGAGTTTATAAATCAACTATACGTTGTAGTAGTTCATAACACAAATCAAAAAAATTTAAAGATTTGTCAACTAGTCTTCTTTTTTTTTTTTTTTTGTCATCATGAATCAAACGATCGGCTCAAACGAGCCAATGTGACAGACAGTTATTGACATACTTGACTAATTGCGGAATGGACCGAGCTTGTCGAGCCAAATAATCCGCTTTAACATTCAAACTTCTAGGAACTAGTGATAAAGAAAAGGACGAGAATTCTTCCCTATCAATAGTGATATCATCCATGTAGACAGAGAAAGCCGTCCAGTCAGTAGGAGAAGACACCATCTTCACCAAGTCTGAACAGTCGGTAACGAACTCTACATCTCTGGAATTGTGGTCAATCATACAACGCGTTGCCCACACCAGTGCTTCTACTTCCGCATGGAGGGGAGAAAGACTTCTGCGGAGATTCTTTGCACCCATCGTTGGCGAAGGCTCCTGAGCATGCTCGCAAAACCATCCCAAACCTGCGAATGAGTCAGAGTCCTTCCAAGAACCATCGACAAAGCAACGATAACCAGTAAACCTATTAGTTAAGGAAACCATTCTGATCCCCTGTTGAAGTTAAACGAAGAATATAATCCATATTTGCGTATACAGACTCAGTGGGGAAGGTTATAGCCCCCACCGGGATGTAGACTATAGCCCAAGACTGACAAGCCGATGGACATGCAAAGAGGACATGGTTTACCGTCTCCATCTGATCCCCGCATCGAACACAAGTAGTATCACAATTAATCCCCCTCCGCTGCAAATTAGCCGTAACTGAAATGCATCCTGTCAAAACCTGCCACATAAAATTGTTGTAATTTTGGTGGACACCGCGCTTTCCAAACCCTTGCTAAAAGTGGATTAATGTCCGGTTCACATATACTCAAAATTGGTAATTATGGATCATTTTATTTTATTTGTCAAATAGTCATAATTGAATTAAATGGGTGCAGTAATCCATTTTATTTTATTTTAATAATTAAAATTTGGAAACAAATTATGAAAAGGTAGAAATGTAATAATTTCTCCAATGGATTTTAATAGGCTTACAAAAAAAATCATAAAGAATTTCCTAATGTAAATTGGTTCAAATACAAATTGGTTGTGTCCACATCGTTACAATGTATTCAAAGGGATCACAGTTTTACTCGTTAAAAAATATTTTACACCATTCAAAGATAAAATCAGAAATTAGAACACATAAGCAAAACTAACAAGTATCGGATGAGGCAATAATAAAGTGCAGAAAGTAAACGAGACACAAAGTTTGTTAACGAGGTTTGGGTTTTCCTACTCCCCAGGACCAAGTCTAGATTTTGATTTCACTAGAACAAGAAAGCAAATATAACCAATTTTCAAATGCGTAACTCAAGCAAAACCCTCTTGAACTACCGCTCTGAACTATAACATGAAATCTTAAGGATAAATCTCTATCCTTAACTAAACTCCCCCTGAGTCTAGATTTAACCTAGATAACCTAATCTTGGGCTAAACTCCCCCTGAGCCTAGACTTCAATAAACCAAGTCTCTGGAGCAACCTTCACACAGAGTCCACTGAATGGGTATAACTATTCAAAAATAAATTATAGATCAAAGTTTAAGTAATTTTTCAAATAGTCATAATTTAATTAAATGGTTGCATTAATCCATTAATTATTATTTTAATAGTTAAAATTCGGAAAACAATTGTGAAAAGTTAGAACTGTAATAATTTCTTCAATAGGATCGGACCCATGCTACAGAGCCGGGGGGGGGGGGGATTTCCTTTTTTTGTTTTTAATGTAAATGAAATTATGAAAAATAGATTGTTGACGTTGCTGTTAGATGTTTTAGTTTTTTTTAAAAAAAATAGATGTAAAAAGTAGATCTAAAAAGTAGTTTGGGATTGAAGAAGTATATTGGATTATATAGTTTTTAGACATGTATAAAGTAACAAATGTGGTGTAATAATTTCACTACTATTTATGAAATTGTGATTTTTGATTCACGTACGCTACAGCGCATGGAATATTTACATATACATACGATTTATAACATATTAGATTGTCTTATATTTTTAGTTTATTGCGGTGTAGTCAATTATGATGAATCATATACTGTGTATCTATGTAATTAGTTTGGATAAAATAGTATAAAATAAAATTGAGTAAATGATAATATATTGAGTTTTAATACAATAAAAAATTTCAGCACGAAAGAATATTTGTCGATTTTTTTTTCCGTAAACAATAGAATATTTGTCGATATATAATTAAATTTGACCCTTTTTTAGTCGAAGTATGAATATACATAAAAATTATAAAACATTTGCATACATTAAGATTATATACTCATAATATTTGTTTTGACGGACCAACTAGAAACGGATTGATTCGTAAAGAAATTATTCATAACTCGCTTTAATATATTTTCATGAATTTAACAAAATAACCCATGAAATATTCGTATTTTACATAATTTGATACATAATATAGCTTATCCGTAAAAATTATTCGTATGAAATTTGATTTAATTAATATTTGAATAGTATATTTTGTTAACAAGAATTTGTATAAACCACCACATTTTGTTTCTTTAATCATCTAAATTAGGACTTGTAATTCACTAAAAGTAAATATTTCCATATAACTTATAATCATATTCATGTAAGATTTTGTATTACAAAGATTTGGTTGTAAGACTTAAGTGGTGTGTATCATGTTGTAACGCGTTGTAAAATTATTAATGAATTTTAATATATGTTTTGACTCGTTGTAAAATTATTAATTTAAATATATGTTCTCGCATGTTGTAAAATTATTAATTATTTTATATATTTATAATATATGAACCTTTTAAAAGATTTAAAAATTAGAATATCTTGATTATACTAAATAAAACTTTTAAATTTGGATGCCTAATAAACCAAGCTTAGTGCTCACCCATGGACAGCCCATAAAATATTCTGAAAACCCTTAAAAATTCTTTAAAAACCCTTGTAAATCTTTTAAAAATCATCCAAAACCTTTAGAACTTTAGTAAACCTTTTAAAACTTTGTAAATCATTTTCTAACATTTATATACACTTGTAAATCCTATTAAACCCCTAATAACCATGGTAAATCCTTTAAAACTATTTTTAAATCTTTGTAAATATCTTTAAAATTCCTTGTATATCCTTTTAAAACCATTTTTAAATCCTTAAATCCTTGTAAATGCCTTTAAAAACACTTGTAAATCCTTTTAAAAAACCTCTAAAAATCCTTGTAAATTTCTGAAAATCATTTGAAAATCTTTTAAAAATCCTTGAAAATCCTTTAATAACTGTTATAAACTTATAAATTTTTAAAAAACCATTCAAAAACCTTTGTAAGCTTGTAAAACCATTTAAAAACCATTACAAGTCTCTTAAAAAACATTTAAAAGTTCTTGTAAATCCCTTTAAAAACCCTTGTAAATCCTTTAAAAGACCCTTTAAAAATCCTTGTAAACCCTTTAAAAAAACATTGGCGGTAAAAGTTCGGGAAAATTTTTGTCGGAAAAGTTTGGCGGGAAATTTTGGTGGGAAAGTTTTTAGTGGAAAATTTTTGGAAAGAATATTCCATCCAAAGAAAGGAGTATTCTTTCAACTAGGGTTAAAATGGCAGTTAAAATTTAAGAGAGGATAAAAATGAAAATGACAAAAAGATCGGGCAGTTTTGCAAAAGGGTATCATAAAAAGGTTATTAGTAATAATTTCTCTTTATGTTTTGTTCTATATTTTTTATTAGCGTCAATAATCTATATATATAACTAGGGAGAGTCCCACGCGATGCGTGGGTTAAATTTAAAATTATAAATTATGCAATTTTTATGGTTACATATACATTAAAAATGACAAACTACTTTTAAAATAAATGTAAAATGTTACATAAGACCAAATGTTTTGTAAAAAATGATGATTATAAGAGATAGAAAAGTGATATATGAATAATGAAGGGAGATTTGCACTACTAACCTTTATTATGATACCCTTTTCTACAAGTACCCTCTCTAGGTATTCATTTCAAAAATACCCTCTTCAATGTAGAAAATGACTAAATTACCCTCCTTTATTATAACCCATGATGAAAAAAGGAATATTATTTCCAACAAAAAGAATATTCCTTCTGAAAAAGTTCCCGCCAAATTTTCCCGACAAAAATTTTCCCGCCAAAAAATTCCGACACAAAATTTTCCCGCCAAAAAAACTTTCCCGCCAAAATTTTTCCGCAATTTCTTAAAAAAACCTTGTAAATATTTATAAATCCCTTAAAAAATCCTTTAAAAACCCTTGTAAATCTTTTAAAAGTCATCCAAAACCATTCAAAACTTGAGTAAACCTTTTAAAACCATTGTAAATCATTTTATAACATTTATAAACACTTGTAAATCCCTTTAAACCACTTATAATCGTGATAAATCATTTAATAAAAGCTTTTGTAAACTTCTAAAACCCGTTAAAAACCCTTGTAAATCCTTAAAACCCAGATTAAAGAACTTGTAATACCTTTAAAAACTTTTGTAAACCCTTCAAAAACCTTTGTAAACTTCTAAAACCCTTTAAAACTTCTTGTAAATCCTATAAAACTATTTTTAAATCTTTGTATGCCTTTAAATATACTTTTAAATCCTTTTAAAACACTTGTAAATCCTTTTAAAAAAAACCTTTAAAAATCCTTGTAAATTTTTAAAATCCTTTAAAAATTCTTGTAAATCCTTTTAAAACTGTTATAAACTTATAAAAACTTTTAAAAACCTTTGTAGGCTTCTAAAACTCTTTAAAAACCATTACAAATCTTTTAAAAACCATTTAAAAACTCTTGTAAATCCCTTTAAAACCCCTTGTAAACCCTTTAAAAGACCCTTTAAAAAATCTTGTAAACCTTTTAAAAAAATTTGGCGGGAAAATTTTGAAATAATAATTTTTTTTGCGCGAAAATTTTCTCGGAAAAATTTTTGGCGGGAAATTTTCTGGGGGGGAAATTTTTGGAAGGAATATTCCTTCCTTTGAGAAAGAATATTCTTTTAAATAGGGGTAAAATAGCCATTAAAAATTAAGAGAGGGCAAAAATGAAAATGGTAAAAAAAAAAGAGGGTATTTTAAAAGAGGGTATCATAAAAAGGTTATTGGTATCAATTTGTCAATAATGAATGTATTTATAATTAGAGAATTTTTGATAAATACCCTTTTTGGTATACCCCTTTTCGAATATACCCTTTTTATCTATCCAGTTTTAAAAAACCATTTTTAAATATGAAAAATTCCAAAGAGTTATATGGTTTATAAGGTACTTCTAGATAATAACTAATACTGAGAGATTCAATCCAAATAATTTATAAGGTTTTAAATCGTTTTTTCAAGGTTTTTAAAAGGTTTGCAGGGTTTTCAAAAGGTTATTAAAAGTTTTTCATAAGGTATTTATGATATATATAAAAGAAAAATATTACACTTATATAAAGGTAATTCGTGTATATATTTATAAGATTATACACATATATGGATAAATTTGAATATTTTGGTGGCTTTTTGATAAAGTTTGAAAGAAAGGGTATTTTTGAAAAGTGGTACTTGCAATGGGGCATTTTTGAAATTCCTTATAATTATGTCACTTTCTTTTGTGTTATAAGCATAATGGCTAATTCTAAGACAATATAAGATAATTTTCTTACTTTTTTTTTGTTCGCCAGACATCTTTAATACATAAATAT